AAAGTTTAATATTGAAAAATTCGCATGTTTTAATCGTAGTATGTACTGAACGCAGTGTGTTACAGCACCGCGGTGTGCCGATGCGGTTAAACACATGCGGGCCATGACGATAAAAACAATACACAATTTAAAGATAAGAACTATACAATACACTGGTGTAGGACATCTGCAACATACGTATAAGTTATGCGTGCATACACAGTGTCTCGCGAATCTCGCGAGCGTAATAAAATATCGAAATTTCTCTCCACGCCTCCGGTGTACCGCGATGATATCGAACATTATTGTGGGCGTACTGAGGAGTAGTCGATCCCGCGGAAACCCGTACAAAAAGAACGATCGCCGAAAACCCGTCGTCGATGCGCATCGGGTGAGGACGTCTAACTCGAACATAAATACACTACTTCCCTCCCCTATAGACTCATCGCGTGCACAGCGCACTTCGACCAAACAAGCCACATGCGTTCGCATACACGTGCGCGTTCGTGCTGGCAATCGGTTAGGTATGGCGAACATTAGTCGGATCCGTAAAACCGTTTAAAACTGCCTCGGAAACCTCGCGCAAGTAGTGCACCCGGGCACACGGACCACGAACGTCGTGAAATAAAGAATAAAACTAAACGCGTGTCTTCGCCGCACTCTTATAGTACACGCGCGCAACACTACTCCATCTGGTTATTGCTAGGCTCAACTCCTACCCTACCCCAACCACCCTCTTATGTATAACTCGAGCGCGTAACGGACGGTGGTTCCACCAATCGTTTTTCTAATAGAAAACAGACGCGCGTGCACGGGGGGCTGTTGCTAATCCGGTCGCGCAGCGCGTGCACGATCCGAGCGATTAATGCCGTAGAGAACGAGGACGCGCACGCTGTATACCGTCTGTACTGATATATACATGGTGTGTGGATACTAATAATAAGCCGACGGGCATTGCGCGCGAGCACGCGGAGAAACGGACCGCGACCGGAAAAGAACACTAAACACGCCATGGCGTAGACGACGACAGGTTATAGGACCTGTTATGTAGGTGTACGTTGTTTACGATGTCGTCACGAGGGGATGGAACCGACGATGCGGACGAAAGAGCTTCGGAAAAGACTGTCCACTGGAAAGGACCATCTCACAGAGTGATGTGAACCCTTGAAAACTTAATTAGTCGTAAATATTGCTGGAGGGACTGCGCGCAGGGTTGTGAACAAATTTAAGACTCGAATAGACTGCGGCAACGGTTCGAATATATTGCTGTTTTACCCGCGTGGCGAACACGTGCGGATTTCGAATAAAACAAACTATTACTTACGAGCGAGAATGTATCATTACGCTATTATTATAATTATTTTTATTCTTATGAAGATTACGCAACTACATTTTGGTCCTCGGATTAACACAAATGTACACTTTGGATAATATTACATTATTTATATGCACATTGAAATCATATGTTTTGTAGAAGTGTTTAAATTATAAGTTCATGATATTTAGATACTTGATTATGTTGCTTGTACATCTTTTGTAATATAATAAAATTAAACTATCGTTGGGAGTATGATAGAATAATGATAAATTATTTTAATATAGCTCGTCTGTTTCGTTGATGTTAACGTACTGGAAAGACGCTATTATAATATACGCACGCACGTATTTAGGGAAGCGTTCCACAGCCAAATACGTATCGGAGGTTTGCTCGTCGTCCGGGAGGGGTAAAGTCCCTCTCACATCGTATGCATAAATATAATACACGTGCACGTTCGGTATTTTCTATTTCTGAGCATTATTTTGGCCCGGTGTATGGGCGATCGCAAGGGGACGTCTACGGCAGACCCAGCGACATTTATTATACACGTAAACCCACACGCGTATATAAACACACAAACACACACACACACACACAAGAGGTAGTACGCACCTTTCTAACGACGAGAGATTTAATGTTGACACGATCACTGCCAACGGCGTGTGTATCTTTTACAGAGGTGTGAGGGTGTGTGTGTTTGGGCTGCATTTTATACCACTCTTTATATATTTCACCTTTCCATACCCTTTCGTAAAACACCACCATCCCTCCGTCGCCCAAACAATTCCGATTTTCCGGTGGATAAGCGTCCGACGGCGAGTTTGTTTTCCCCGCGTGCGAATAAATGGCCCATGTGCTGCGCGTCACCACCACCACCACCACAGTAAGAGAGAAGACCTTATACAAAACCATGCATATTTGCACACTGACACACACGCATAGCAAAGAGAAAAGGGGGTAGGGTGAAGGAAAAAAAGTCTCCGGTATAATTAATATTCAAGGCGTATATATCGGTGCGTGGTGGTGGTGCAGGTTAGTCGCGGGGGAGTACTTCCGGAATTTCGTATTATGTTGAATTTTGCACACGGAGCGGCTATTGTGTGAGTTTTCGTGGTGTGTGCTTACGAGTGTGCTTATAATGTGCAGTTTACGCACGCAATGGAGGTGAAAAACCGCACGATTTATGTTTTGAGGGTAGGAACACTGCGAGAAACCGTTTTAATTGAGATTTCGTTTAATTTTTTTTTTTTTCGAAATATTGCGCATTGGTCCTGCGAATAAACTATAGTTGCAGACGGATCATTAGAAGTTTATTTACTTGTAGTCTATACATATATATGTGTATGCAATTATACGTCGGTCCATTGAAAAAACACATGGTTGATGGGGTGCGGTTCGATCATGTTTCTGACGACGATCTACGAGTATGTATTGTCATCGTGCATTTATAGGTATATATTATGCGCAAGATTTATTGATCAGACTGTTTGATTAAATTATCTGCAGTTACGGTAATATTAAAAAATATTTTATAATGCAGAACATAGTAAATTTATGAAAACTATTGAAACGTATAAATTTATATATAAATATAATTTATATTTATAAATTTCATCTTGAAAACTGGTCCGATCTCTATCAGAAATTTAATCAAATTAAACTTTTTGCTGGAAACGTATATATAAGTAATCGTTATTGATGATGATGTTTTAACTCAGCATTTTACCAAAACGATAGGTATTATATGTGTTTATTTTATTTTCATATAAATGTATTTTTGGTATCGTTCAGATCCCGCAGGGATTTAAAACGAAATCAACGCTGTTTCGGCAACGGAAGAACGAGTAAGTGGCAAGTAGAGGTGAGGGAGAAGCGCAAACAATAATTATGTAAATTGTCGGACGGTTTTCCGGCGATACGGCGATAAAAGCAAAGGGAAAAAAATACAGAGGCGGTTTAAAGGATTTCTCACGGAAATTTTATACAATATATACTGCAGTCCTTGCCCCGGCCACGATATATAGCTAGTGCAGTGTAATATAGCAGTGCGACGCTCTGCAGTAGTAGATGGCTTAAGTACACGATTTCATTTATTTTTATTTTATTTTATTTGTTTTACGCCTTTTTGCAACCACCACTGCCGCCACCATTCACACGATTGACTACGTCCCGGGATTAAGGGTTTTCGATAATTACGACCACGACGGAAAAACCGAAAAAGCAGCAAAAAGAGCTGGTTAGGATGGAGACCGATTTATTAGCTATCCAATGCGGGTTACACACAGTACGATTGGCTTTTTGCCCGCTACCACTTTGATATTCGTGGTGTTTGGAAAACCCAGCGTAGCTTTCACCCGTACTCCTCTCATTGTAGGTAATTGTTAGGGGTACAAAGATACCAGAAAAAATTCTTCACTGCAGCGAGTCCTTTAAAATCCCCATGTGTTCTTAGATTTTTCTCGATAATCCTTAAAAGCAGCGATGTCGTATATACCAGACTAAAACGCATACATACACACACACACACACACACACACACACACACACACACACACACACA